TTATGGTTACCAGTTGGGGGGAAAGGAGATGGGGAGCGATAAATTAGGAGTTTGGGATTTATAAATACTACCTACTATATATAAAATAGATAAACAACAAAATCCTACTGTGTAGCACAGGGAACTAAATCAATCCCTTGTAATGGCCTATAATGAAAATGGATATGAAAAGGAATATATATATATATTTACAAACGAATCACTATGCTGTTCACCAGAAATTAAAGCAACATTGTAAGTCAACTATAGTTCAATAAAAAAAGAACTCATAAGAATTTAAAGTATTTTTAATAAATCTGATTAATGTTTACCTGCATGTTTAAATTGAAGAGTTACTTTTTTTCATTAAAATGCTAGTTTAATATATAAATTAATCTCTGGCTTTCAGAACTTTCCTAAATATCAAGTTCTTATTTCTGATTCCCACTCTCTTTCTCTAATTGTTCATTATATAGAACTAAATCTTTAAAAATTAATTTTATTTAGTCAGACTTATATTTCTTATTCATTATTTTAAAAGCTGATCCTCAGGAAGATTCATTCAAGAAAACTCCTTCTTTCTAAATAAAAATTACAAAAATAAAAGCCCTGAACTGAATTACTGTTTACCCTCCTGAATTGGTTTTAACTCTAATTCAATTCATTGACACCCGGCCCCGCCGCCAACAAAGGGACGGTTTTTATATTCTTACTCTTGGTAGCACCACTACAGTAAATTAGGTACATACCTACTAATATTACTCAAGGAAAAACACACACAATTTCTTCTCTACAAATATTTAATGACAAGCTTTATTATTCATTCTTTAGATTTCTAATTAACTTCCATTATTCGTTAATATAAATAAATAAGGCTTTATAGAATTTATAGTTCAACTAAAAAAAACCCTAAATTTCCTTTTCTTAAATAAAAATTAATCAAACCCAATCCCCTAAGCCCCTCCCTTTATTGCCAGTGTAGCCTCCTGATATGAGGAAGGAAAGTATCAGATGCTGCTGTTTGTTCCTGGCAGGTACTAACAGCTCATGAAAACTACATATATATTTAAATTACAAAAAACTACATATAATTCTTGCTTCTTAAACTTCCTAAAATAAGGGAAAAAATCCTGCTGGCTCTTTCTTATTTCAAAAAAAATTACTGAGACAATTTTTTCTGTTTCAATTCAATCTTGCTATTATTACTTAATCTCCATAAAAATTTTTTTTAAAAAGAAGAAGGGGAGGAATGAAAGGATATTATTTTAACCAAACAGTCAATGAAAAGCATATCAGGTAGAGGACTGACAGGCAATCTCATATTTTATTCTATTGTATTACTGAGGTATAGTTGATGTCCAATACTATATAAGTTACAGGTGCACAACTCATCCACAAAAAAGGATGAAATTTTGCCATTTGTAACAATATAGATAGACTTAGAGGGTATTATGCTAAGTGAAATAAGTCAGACAGAGAAAGACAAACACTGTGTGGTATCACTCATATGTCAAATCTAGAAAATAAAACAATCTCCTATTTTTAAATCAATAAGGTGGACATTTTACTAAGGTCAAAATAGTTAGGAAAGTCCTCATTAAAGAGGCAGAATTTGACTTGTACCCTGAATGACAGGAGACCTTGCAAGTGCAGAAGCAGGGAATTATAAGAGGAAAGCCTACCTTTTCCCAGTGATGGCAACTGTTTAGGTTGATTACTGTTTAAAAGAACTTAAATTCAGAAAAGGAGGCTGAGAGTTTATTCAGAGAACATATGGGAAATCGATCTGAGCAGGCAAGTCCCTGAGCAAGGGCACCAATCATTTTTCTTCTAGAAATGAATGTCTCTCAGGTAAGACAGGAATTCAACAGAAGATCCACCTGGCTGCACAACTCTGACACAGGAAAACGTAAGAGCCAGGGAAAAGCAACCAAAGGGATTTAGTAATAAAAGGCTTCCCCCAGTAACACCTTCCACTAAGCCTCACTGGCCCTGAAGAAACTAAACCCAAACATTCATTAAGAACACAAAAGTTCAGTTTCTCTCAAAGGCAGAATTAGCCTGAAAGTCCCAGCAAGTGGACAAGCTGATGGAAAACTAAGCATTTAAAAGCAGCTGAGGAACAGGAGGAGCACCTTTGAGGATCAGATAGGAAAGTGCCCTCCTTAATCATTTTCCCCTCTCAGAGAGACCACTTGGACAGTGAGAGGTTTCCAAGGATACCACAAGTTCTAAAGAACTCAGCAGTGGTGCCAGCTCAGTCCCTTCTTGGTCCAAACTTGAAGAAGCTTGATCTCTCATCCAGTAAAGACAGCAGAATGATTCCCAAATAAGAGACTTACAACGCCCTGACCCATTCCACTCTCCCCACAACCCCTCAAACACAAATAAAATAAATAAATAATCAACAATGTGAACATGGAGGTAAAACCAGGTAAGTTCCATTTGTATTTCAAATATAAAATCTTGCTGACATTTCTAATTTTCTGTAAACTTCCCAGTGTTTGTTGTGTAACCTCCTGCCTGTCTCTGCAGTGAATAAAATGAAAATTCTAGACTTATAAGAAAAGAGTAGGCACCTTGTGAGAAAACAAATGACAAAGGAAAATGGGTAGAAAAGCTCCAAGGTTATACTCATGGTCTGGAAAATAATAGAAAGGTATGCAGGTAGGCAGCCTGTGATGGAATAGGTCTACAAATTTAATTTACTACAAGCTCCCAAGGTTCTTTCATGGGGATATTCCAGATTAGAGCAAAAAGGAAATAAGTTAGTCTGGTTTATGTGGCTGTGTGTTGATGAAAAATGCATATGGAAATTATGCCCATAATTTCTAAAATGCCTTAAATTAAGGTGTACTATTGTAAACAATACAGAAGTCATTTTGTGATATCTAAAGACATTCCATTTCCTTTACATATTGGGACTCTGGTCCATAATAAAAATTATACCTTCACAGCTCTGAAATATTTTTCTTCATTTTCTCTTTTCATATCTAATTTGAAAAAGAAAGGATGACATAGAAAGCTGACAAAGAAAGGATGATGGTCAAGAAGAGGGATCAACAGGATAAGGTAATTATCAAAGGAAAGCAAGAAGAGGAAATACTGAATGGATTACATTAAGAGTAGTAGTACGATGTTCCCATGGAAGTGGGGGCACTTAGTTTAGACACAGCATGTGTGAAGAAAGAACATTCTTTCATCAAATACTGAGTACCAATTAAGTACAAGCCACTAGACTACCAAATTCAACATGATATATTTTTATAGTCTTCACATACACTTACCTCCCTAAGGTATGAGAATTGTTACATTACTCTTTATTTAACAGGGAAGTCAATACATGTTTGCTAAAACAAAGTTTCAATGAAGAAAGAAGGCTAATATATTGAGGTTTCCATACCTATTAATCTAAGTTTCAAAAACTTCTGGAAGAACCCATGGATCATTTAAGTCCACTTATTCTTCTCCAAATTTGAATCTACTTTCCCCTCTATACAATACATGACTGCTTTCTAAAATGAAATTGTGGCCGATAAAAATCACCCAGGCATTGACATAGTTGGAGCCTCAAGTCTTGCTTCAAAAACCATAAACAGCTTTTGAATATTTTAGGAACTCAAGATAGTACCTTAACACCAAACACATTTTATTAGTTGCCCTAGGATACCGAGTTCACATTGGATGCATCCAGAAACAGTGAACAGATTCAATCAATTTTCTAGGTTATAGAAGCACACCAGTCATGCCATCTAAGCCAGTCTAGCAAGTGTGATGAGTATTTACCTCTCACTGTGTCATATTTTCCCCTTGTCTTAATGCTAGCCCTTTCCTTCTTATCACCCCTGAGTATGAATGTTTCCAAATTTCTATCCCCAGGCCTCTATTCTTATCTTACCCTTATTCCTTCATTAACTAACTCACTTTTATAGCTGAACCCACTTTCTTTCTTCCAAATTTCAGATTTCTGCTAACACTGTCCCAAGTCTCAGTTCATCAGACATGTTAAGTACAAATTATTTTAAATTTTTCTCTCTTCCTCAATACTTACAACCAGACAAATTTCATCTTTTTAATTCTTCAGTTTCATTCTTGATTTTCCATCTCATTTACCACCACCATAATTCAAGGGCTTTTCAGCTCACACCAAGACTACTAGCCTAGCCTCCACACAGTCTTTGACCTTAGTCCTTTCCCTTCTTCAGTTTCTCTTACACAATGCCGTCAGATTAATCATCCTAAAGAGAATTTATGATTTTTTGAACATGCTTTAAAAATGCCTCTCAACTGCAGACATAACAAAAATTTCATCCAGTACAGTATTGAAAAAGTATTCAATGAAAACTTGGAAAACGTGAGTTTTCCTGGCTAAACCTCACTCATTTGAAACAATGGCATATCATATTCTTTACATCTTTGGGTACCAAGTTTCTTTTCTAGTAAAATAACTAGGTCAGGCCGAATAAGCAGTTTTCAAATTATTTATTTAAAGTTTTTGGATTGTTTTGGATTCTGATACTGTAAATATACGAAAGAGACTTTTTTAAAAGGTTGCTGGGGGAGGATATAGCTCAAGTGATAGAGTGCATGCTTAGCACTCATGAGGTTCTGGGTTCAATCCCCAGTACCTCCTCTAAAAATAAGTTAAAACCTAATTACCTCCCCCACCCCTGCCAAAATAAAATAAAATAATAAACAAATAAAATATTTTAAAAAAAGAATTCGAAAAAAAAATTGCTTATTCAAGAGTTTTGAACCAAGAACCCTTGAGAAGGAGTTCTTGAACCCTACAGGGGTAGAAGGGAGACAGATGCAAAAATAGCTGTTGTTATGCTGTTGGAAACATGATGAAGACCTGAACTAAAGTATTTTCAGTGGAATTAGAGAGAAGAAGATGTGTAAGAAATGTTTAGGCAACTGAATTGACTGGTTTTGATGACCAGTTGAAGATAAAGGAGAACAATGAAGGAGATTAAAAGACAATTCATTTATGACATAGGCAACTTTTTAAATGGAGATTCCGTTTAATTAGAGAAAATAGAAGGAATTAGGAAAGGGTGAAAACTGAGCTGCTTTGGTTAAAACAGAAAGAGACCAAGAGCCTTCTGGTAGGGTTCTCTCCCATCTCACTCGTAGGTACCATTGATGGTCCTTCCACTGCACCTCAAAATTCCAGGGGACTCATCATGAAAACACTGATAAGGATAATTTCATAGTTTCCTTAACAGTTTTAAAATGTTATCATCTTTTAGCTAAGCACAGATCTTGTGTCTGATTTTTCCGACTCTGGTCAGATAGCTCTGCTTACCATTTCTTAAACACACCTTACATTGTCCCAATATCAGTCAGTTTTTTTAAATCTCCAAAATAAATTTATAAATTTCGTAACTCTAATAGAAAGTTAGAAATGCATGCTATTTTTGAAAGAACATCATATTTCTGTTGTTTATAATGCTATTGGCAACAAAATCACAGTCAGTGTAACATCTACATCAAAAATAGTAAATTAAAGCCTTTCCATTTTCATCTTTCCACAGTCACCAGAAATTAAACTTTAATAAAAAATGAACACATTCATGGGGGGGAAAGGGGCTTAAGATGAAGTTCCTTGAAAATATAAACTTAGAAAAAAAATATTTTTCACAATGGAACTACTTATAAAGTTATCTCTATTCTGTTTATCTCATTTCCATATTAGCTTCTTCATTTATTCCTTTATGAATTTCAAAATGTCTATGTAATGCAACAAATTAATGTAAAAGATTTTTAAGTGAAGTAGAATTCTTATACAATGCATTATAATTTCCTTGATTGTCTCCCTTTATTCACGTTTCCCTTAGGATGACTGAAATAACATACTGCCCTACAGGACCAAAAGTAATAGGGAAAATAGCTGATACTTATTAGCAGTAGTTAGATGCTACCCAGGAGAAATCCTAGGCCCAAGGATGGTCTGGGAATAGAGACACACACTTCACGGGTAAAGTGATGAATGTACTTTTTCAAATCAACAGAGCTTGCAAAAAAAAAAAATGAATAAACAACTTACCTTATGCTATAAAGAACATAAGGCAGTTTATACCATTTATATGTGGCAAAAGAAATGAAACTAGATCTTACAGGAAATTAAACCAAAGGTAGAAATAATATGGCAGGTAAGAATAAGGTGAAAAATGAATCTCATTACAGTGGCCCCTAAGTAGCCACAGGGGGATTGGTTCCAGGATCCTCGCCAATGCCAAAATCCACAGATGCTCAAGTTCTTCAAATGAATTGCATAGTACACTTAGCCCTCTGTATCCACGGATGTGGAAGCTGCAAATACGGAGAGCCAACTGTATTGTCCCTACCTGCTGAGCTGAACAATAGCCTAGGCAGCACTGACTGGCAAACATTAATATATACCTATGACAGTTTTATCATCCAAATGGATTTTGAATATAACTATTTGTTCCTAGCCTATGAAAAGCTTTAGTTTACATGGACTTTAAGGAGAATTATGGTACAATGAGAAACTATTCATTTGTTTGAATATTTACTAATTATGCCTACTATATGCCATCAAAAGTTATGTGTACTTACTCTCCATATTCTTATATATCTGTAAATTTTGACTGGTCTACAGTATTATAGTATAATACTATACTGTGTTTTTTACATGTATTTTACTATTTGATGTTTCAGACTTCTTGAGAAAAGGTTTCTTTTGCTAGATAAGCCCATGAGCATACGGCCAAATCTATTTTATTCACCACTACATTCCCTAGTGCCATGCCCCCAAGATATAAAGCCTCTGCTACCTGCTTTGATTCACTTATGCCTTTACAAGTTGCTGTCTTATCTAAATTTATCTTGAAAAACAAAGTGAATAAAAGTAGCATCAAATGGCCTTCGTGCAACTACATATTCACTTACACTAGAATAAGAAATGATAAACACTTATTAGATAATATTTTATTTAATCATTCATGTATATAAACACTAAACGTGATTTGAACATCTCATGGCAGGCACCCTGCTGGGTACTGAGAATGAAAAAGATAAATAAGACAAAGTCTATTCCCTGAGGAAGCTAACAAATTATTAGAGAAAACATCCCATTACAAAAATCTAATATACAGGGACATTAAGGAGATAGACAGAGGATGTTACAGGATCATGGTAAAGAATGCACCTAACTCTGCAGGAGTTCCTACAGAAGTATTTTCCTAAGTAACATATAATTATCTGTAAAAAAAAAAAATTCTCTTAAGATATAAAGGAAAACATCCTTCTCCTATTATTTTATTTACATAATATATGTGTTTATATATCATTTTTTAAAAAGTATCCCCTCACTACAAACCTGTAACATAATCCTTTCTAGATGTCACAAACACTGTTTTAGGCAAGAATACAAAAACCAGCCACATGTTATCAACAATTATTACTCAAACCTATCACTTTACCTAAACATCTGAATGATTTGAAACATTTCCAATTTCCCAACTAACAGACTACTGCATTCTGTTACTATTTATTGAACACCTATTATTTGACAGACCCTGGGGAAAAATGGGTTTAATTTTCTCTGCTCTCAAAGAGCTCATTGTAATAATATGATTTCATTATCACACTAAAGCAATAATGTATTTGGGCTCTATCTTTTCTTTAGGACAATTAAGGAATCTTCTATCCACACCAGAAACTTAAATTATAATCACTGTATATGTTTTTCATTAAAAGTTTAGTAGTGTATATTGATATTTTTGCTAAATATTTTGGAAATAAATGAAATCAGAAAGAAATTGTTAAATAAAACAACTATGTTAAGCTGTAGCAGGGAAAAAAATCTAGTAAACATTAATTAGCGCCACATAAAAGCATTGCCTGTGATTTCAGAATAAAATATAAACACACTAATGGGGAGAAAAGGGAAGCTAGCCCAATAAAGTTTACAGGTTAGTAGGTATTATTTCTAATCACTTGAAATGATGGTTTACTTTTTAACGGTAATACTATAATATAATAATAATAATTTTACAGCTCAGATGAACCTGGTATTCACTCAAGATGAAAATAATAGGGCAAAGCTAGATATCGCCCAGTCATGTGACAAAATAATTGTCGTATAGTAAAATCTCTTTCTTCTCTTATAAAATAAATTTCTAATTCTTAAACTGCCTCCAATATTTCTGACCTTATTCTCTACTCCCCTCTAGAAAATCAACAGGTAGATATACTTCATAGAATCCGTCATAGCAGAAAAGAAACAAACAAACATTTGTTTGGAGACCATCTCTAGATTTTCTGCTGTCCGTGCTCAAGGATGAATCACAGCAATGCCAGGAAACACTTTAGAAATGACTTTGCATATTCTTTTTCTAAAGTTAATTACCTTAACTGCATTTAAAAATCTTGTTATTTTAAAATAAAAACCAAAACAAATATAGAAAGCCATACAAAATAAATTTGTGGCATTATGAAATTTTATAAAGCAAACATACGGTTACTATAAAGGAACCACCACCATGGTCAGGAAAAGTAGAAGTTTGCCAACCATCTCAGAAGCCCAAGCCATACGCCCCATCCCAATCCTAACCTCTTCCTAACTTCTCATAAGGAACCATTATCCTGAGTTGTACAGTAATCATTTCTCTATTTTTTATAGCTTTGCCATCCAAAAGTGCATCCCCTACACACTAGTAACTGCTGATTTCCTAATGTATTGCTATTTTACATTTGTTACCGCACAAAGATGCTAAATAGTTAATTATTTTAAAATATAAATACAAGATCAAAGTTTTACTCATATGACTTTTTATTTTCACAGTAAGTACGAACAGGGTGATTTTTCGAGGAAAAGGATATTAACACTGCATCTATAATTACATGGTAAGTAAAATAATACAATGACAAAAATCCATATTCTAAAGAAACAATGGTTAGAAAATAAGCCAAAAAATATTAAAAACCAAAAGCCAAAAATATTCCTGGGATAATTATCACCAAAAAGTTATTGAAAGTTATAAAATGTCTCAAAATTACATCTATTCAGTTTATATATCTCTCTTTTAATATGTGCATTTACCCAAAAAAAAGTCTTTCATGAGAAATGCTAAATATGCCTATGAATATAACACAGTGGTATGAAAATATATGACATCCTCAAATTTAAATTTTATTTTATTAAGTTCTTGTTTTCTAATTTTAGAAGAAAGTTTAGAACTCACTGTAAGGTGAAATTTAGTCTACCTTAAAGTAACTTTCCTGAATATAAAATTAACTATAGCTATTTGGAAAATACAGAAAAATATACAGATAAAAATAAAAATCATGCATAATCCCCAAAAGAGAATCACTTTTAACATTAAAGCCTATTTTTTAATTAAAAGGGTTATTTATCATTTACCTCATTATACCTCTCCTATTTCTTTAAAAAAAAGTAGTTTATCTTTCATTATTCAATCTCATAGATAAGTGGAGACTATAAAATAACAAGACAGAATTTATCAGAATTTATACATGCAAGTATTTTACTCTAAAGAGGCAGCTAATAAAGAAAATATTTTTCATAATGCTTCCTTGAGAACTACCTTGAAATTCAGAAGGTATATACATTAATCACTATTTTAGAAAATGGTTCCCAAGGGACTCTCACATAACAATATAACATGACAGAATTTTACCAAAATCTTATTGTTTGTTCCTGTTTCCCATTTTCTTCTCTGAGTCTTTCAAACTCCTATATCTACACATTAAACATGAATTATGGTGATCATTTTCAGAAATTATTTACTATTAAGAATTCAGGAAATCCTACCCAATAAAATTATCATAAAAGTGTGCTACAGAAAACAAACATATTTCTAAAAATTCAACTGCAGTATAAAAGTATGTAAATCAAACTTTATCTTTTCAGCAACCTCCCTTAAAAAATTATTTTGGAGATGTATTACCATTATAGGTAAGTTGCCTTAAAGTATAATAAAAATGCCATCTAAGAAATCAAATCTCTTAAAGCTAGTATTTAAGATAAAATTATGAAACATCTGATAAAACAAGAGCTAATTCATAACAAGTTATAAAATTCAAATACTGAATTTTTTTAAATTATAAAGGTAAGGGGTTACTCTTCCTATAAAATCTACTCTAATTTCACTCCTACCTCCTACCAATGCTTATTTTCAAAAACCCTGAAATATTTAAATGGGTTTCTAAAGCTAGTAAGTGTTAGTATTCTCTGAAATATTGAAAGTGCCTTATGAATGCAGAAAGATTATGATGATGGTGGTGGCCATGATGACAATGATGACATTTCACATAACACTTTTAAGGAGGAGACACTAAATTAGCACAGTGTTCCCTATAAGATCTCCATGGGGAACAGTAGGCTGCACCTTTCTATACAACGAAATTTTGGAAAAGTACTTATATAATTTATTTCTTAAGATGTAGCTCCACAGACATTACATATCCTTTAGAGCAGAATACTGATACTATCTAAAGTCATCTAGTTTTCAAAATTAGTGGTTATTTTAAAAACTTTTCCCATGACTGGCAGGCCAAATCTAGGCATATCTTCCTTGATGTAAGAGATAGATGAGATGGGGTAACCCACTCTAGCCAGAATCCTTACATTCTCTGGGCTTTACTGCCATCACCCAAGGGTGCAAAAGGAAACAGATTGTTCACCATAAACACTGTGTCCCGGGCCCTGCCTTATCTGCCTTTTCTGTACTTTTTCTTTATATGCAGTAGCATCCCTTTCACTCACCTTGTCCCCAAGAGCTATTGTTTGGTACATGGCAAGCTTTATGAGCACAATCAATATCCAATGAAATAATCACAAGCAGCCTCACTTTAATCAGTTCAGTACACATTTAAAGTATTACACAGTCCTTGCCAGGTGCCCAAGATTTTCACTTCTCTTAAGTCTGCATACTCTTCCTTATGCTACACTTTTGGGGTTATAATTCTTCTATTTCCACTCTTCAGTCTAAGGCTAAAGTATTTCCTTTGGAAGAACAAGTTGTTTTTCCCTTTCGAGCCCTGGTTCTAGTTTTAAAGACTATTTACACAGAACGATGCCTTCCTTTTACCAACTAAACATGTAAAGTTTTAGGTACTTACTATTAGATATTTATTCAGGCTCCAGGCCCAATTCCACTTGCTCCAAACCAAGGAAACTGGTTTTCCTCCATCCAAAACTCAATCTGTATGTCTTTCATGGTCAGTTCTGCAATTGCAGTGTCTCCCCAGCCCCTTCAAAAAACCATCTCCCCATTCTTAAATGCCAGTTTTCCCTAAAGAAAATCTACACCCTCTTTTTTGTTTTTTTAACAATTCGACGTCCTGATACCATCAACTCTCTAAAATCACATTTGCAGTTCTAAAGAAATAATATAAATCACCTAACCAAAGATAGTCCACCACCCTTCCTTAAGAATCAAAAAAATTTTCACATTTTCAGTTTTGCAAAGAACCTTTGCTCTCTTATCTTGTATTTCCTTTAATTCACAATAAATTTACTTATGAAACTGAATTCAATGACGGGGATATTTAGCCTTATGATATGTAACTATAAGTTACGAAAAGAGAATAATACAGTATTTCTGTGTATTTAAAAATCATATGCAGAAAAAGAGCTTATAATTTATAGAATTCTTGTGAAGTGTCTTTTTGTGGAATAAATAACTGCTATTTAATTCTTATAAATCTGAAATTTCACGAATCAGGCATGCTTAAAGAAAGCCCTTTAATAGCTTAGCGTTAGAATTACTCTTTTATCCTACGCTTTATCAGCAAGATTCAAATGCCCACTTGTGTTTCACTTTTTTCCAAGAAAAAAAGAAAAAGTAATTTCTTAATTACCAAAGGAAAAAAATGGATGGTCCAATGCATTTTTCAAGAACAAAGGTTAAAAAGAAAACTGACAATACAACAGTAAAATTCGATAGTAACTTACATAATCATGGAAGGCTTTTGCTTCACTTGAATGTTCACATGTTTCCCGTCTTTCTGGAGCTGCACAGTAGAGATCCCAAAATACACTAAAAAAGTAATTATGGTAACATTAAGAAAATCACATAATGTCAAATGAGAGATTACAGTTCTAAAAATAAAGACAAATAATAATCTTTACACAAAATGTTTTTTCTTCTTCAGGACAAATATTTCTTCAAAAGATTTAAATTCAGGCAAGGTTCTTCATGCAATAATAAAATATAACCTAGCCACTGTTCAGAAATGCTAATAAGATTTTTCTAAAATGAAAATATAATTTAAAAAAATTAAAACTGTCTTTAATTGTCTATTTACATGATTTAAGCACATGACTGAAATAATTACAATACTTTTCACAATTTTCCCATAATAAAAAGTTTTTTAAAATCCTAATTTAATCATTAAAGAATAAAGTAACTGTTTATACTTAAAAGTGGAATTAATTTTTTCAAGATAATTTTGTTGTCCAATCCCTAGGCCAATACCCTAACCATTAAACTGCACCTGTGAAACATATATTATCTTGAAATATTCTCTTGTTTTCCCTTGCAATTACCAAAATAGGTTAGTAATTTTGAAAATTAAAATATTCACACTAATTTTCTTTTGTTTCCTCCTGTTCAAGAACAATGGGAAAAAGCAAGATGGGACTGGTTGGGAAAAAATAATTATACTTCTTACACAACATACAGCCCTGGTCACCCACCCATTTATAAAATTAACAATGAACAAGAGCAAGAGATTAAAAAATCAGGAAAGGAAATGTCTGAAAGTACAGATGATAAACAAAGGCAATTTTACTGATCAACAAGCCCTTTTTATTACACACTTCCCACTCTATATAAAGTGCAAACTAGGCTAAACACAAGTTCTGGAATAGGATGTATCTGAGACAGAAGCCAGTCCTGCTGTTTACTAGCTCAAGTTATTTATACAGATAGGAGACACAATTTCCTCCTCATAAAATAGGGCTGTTGAGAAAATTAAATTATATACAATAAGCACAGTATCTTATAGTAAGCATATTATCAATATTGTTATTAGTAATATCATATAAGTAATAATGAGCTTGCATAAAAGCTTGAAATGCATACACATTGTTTTAAGGCAGGTCATTGGGCGGAGGGCACAGTTAACAATGATACAATAAAACCTGGTAAACTGAACTAATCTTTTTGTTTTGACCTTTGAAATCTCATTTGAGCCTGGATCTGTCTCTCTTCAGCAAGGAGAAACCATTCTGTAAGCCTTATAACACAATTAATTCAGTAAAATAAGATTACCCTTAGAGGTTAAAAAAAAAAAAGATTGACTACTAGCATCTATTTCTACAATAAATAAGAAATACAAAGAATACAATAAAGACCAAAATAATTTAAATAAATTTCAATTCCATTAGGAGAATGCAAGCAGTTAAAAGTTGTACTTGGCCTCCCTGTCTCTTTTGGGACAAAAAGTGTAAGAATTATACACATATAAGGATATAGCTAAAGTTTTTCACCTGGATCAGGTGTGTTATCAATTACAGTATATCACAGTTATTCTTCTTTCTATGTTCTTAAGGAATTTCAAGGCCCTTAAAACCAAAACTTTATATTGGTAGTCTTTAAATTGTATTTCATTTAATTATAGAATATTATATGCAATATTATGACAAATACCTTAATATCACTTTTTATTCCCTAATTTTCTAGCAAATACCATCACCTTTCTCAAAAATTATTCCAGTATTACCTTTAAAAGGTTGTCTTACAAAATGAACTGAAGGAAAATAATAACTTTATTGGTATATGACCTAAAATTTATTTTAAAATATTATAAATGATTATTTACACATATACAATTAAATTAAATATTTATCTTAGAATAATAATGTTGTTCTACTTCTATTTTTAAGTTTGTCTTTATGGACTTAATAGGAGGTCAAAGTTTTCCAAGAGCAAGATTAAGGAATAAAATAAATTACTTAAGTAGGATAACTTTATATACAGTATTTCTAAGAATCCTACATTACCTATACATGATTTCCTTGAATAAAGGTAAAGAAATATATCCTTTTAAGACACTTCCCCACGGGAGAAATACACATTTCTACAATTACAGTTAAGAGACATCAATACTCTATTGTCAATAATGGATAGAAATACTAGACAGAGCACAAGCAAGGAGACAGAGGACTTAAACAGCACAATAAACCAACTAGATCTAACAGATGTATACAGAACACTCTACCCAACAAAATGTATATGCATTTTTCTCAAATGAACTTGGGACATGTTCCAGGATAGACCATATGTTAAGGCACAAATTAAGTCTCAATAGACTTAAAAAGATAAGATATCATACATAGTATATCCTCTGACCACAATGGAATGAAGTTAGAAATCAGTAACAGAAGGAAAACTGAAAAATTCACACATTTGTGCAAACTAAACAATACACTCCCAGTGGCTTAAAGAAGAAATTGTAAGGAAAATTAGAAAAAACTTACAGATGAAACCAAAACACAACACACCAAAACTTATGGGACACAGCAAAAAAGGAATGCTGAGGGAATTGTAAAGCTATAAACACCTACCCTAAAAAACAAGATCTCAAATCAAAAAAACCTAACTTTAATACTTAAGGAACTAGAAAAGAAAAAAGTTAAACCCAAAGATGGCAGAACAAATAATAAGATTAGACCAGAGATCAATGAAATAGAGAATAAAAAACAATAGAGAAAAATAATGCAACAAGAGTTAATTCTTTGGAAGGATCAACAAACTTGACAAACCTTTAACTAATGAACTAAGAAAAAAGACAAGATTCAAATTACTGAAGATCCCACCAAAAAACTGTTAGAACTAATAAGTGAATTCAGTAAAGTTACAGGATTAAAAAATATTCATATGAAAATCTGTTGTGATTTTTTTTTGTGTGTGTGAATCCACACTAACAATGAACTATCAGGAAGAAAAATTTAAGATACGATCTCATTTACAATTCAATCAAAAAGAAAAAAATGCCTAGGAATAAATTTAGCCATGGAGATGAAAGATCTATATACTGAAAAATAGAAGACATTAATGAAAGAACTAGAAGAAGACATAAACAAACAGATAATCTATGCCATGAACTGGAAGAATTAATATTGTTAAAATGTCTACACTACCCAAAGCAATCTACAGATTCAATTCAATCCATATCAAAATTCCAATCACATTTTTTCACAGGAAAAATAACTCTAAAATTTGTATGGAACCACAAAAGACCCTGAATACTTGAAGCAAATTTCAGAAAGAAGAACAAAGCTGGACACATCACATTTCCCAATTTCAAATTATATTATAAAGCTACAGTAATCAATAGATAGACTTCCTCTCTCTACAACCTAACATGCTAAAGGCTCAGGAGCTTTTCAAATTCTCTAATCCCTACATCTATTAAGCATGAAACAAAAATGTTATCTATCCTTGAAATGTGGTAGATTAATCATTGTGAATAATGCTTTAGATAAATACAGTCTGTTTATTCCTAAACAGAAACAAGTGAAAAATCTGTAGTTTACAAATGAAGAAGATAGAGACTAAACACAGAGAAGCAAAACTTGGAAAGTATTAAAATCTTTGTTCTTGTATCATTTATTATTATTAGCAATGCCCCACATAAATTAAAAAACAAAACAAAAGAAAACAGAATTTCCAGGTTGAGGATCCCATTCAAATAGTTTTTCCTTCTATCCTGAGGATGTGAGTCAAAGTGACTTAGCTAAATGTCAATGTCGCTAGGTAACAGAGAAAGCACAATGGTTGTCGGAGAAGTCTACAAAGGTAGGCAAACATGCCAGATGTATCCCAGAAGATGAGATGCTAATATAATTATATAGCTTTCATGCCACTGGCCAGATCTAGGACTATCTGAAAATAAAAATTCAAATAAGAAGAAACCAAAAGAAAAAACCCTTGGGTAAATATTTTCTTCTGAGGAACAAGCCACATTATTCCAAGTTTAAGCCTTAATAACTAAGGAAGTTATTTCTCGTTGACTGGCCCAAAAATATATTATCATTGAATGTTAGTTACTCATAATCCATATCGAAGAAAACCATCCATTCGTGAGACTAAGAAGGGTTTTACATGAAATGTGCATGTACCTGCTCATCACCTTAGAACTTATTTTGTCCCACTATCATAAAATTCTCATGCAATCCTGCATGAGTAACAAATTCATATTTTAAAGTATCATCAAAATAGCTTACATGTAATAAGTATGTGCCAAATTGAAGCATCATATACTAAACATAATCTATTCAGCACTTAATCCTCCTATTATTACTCCCATTTGATAGATGAAGGAACTGAGACTTAGAGAGGTTAAATAATTTGCCTAAGGGTCACAGAGTTAGTGGCAGGGGTGGGCTTGAACTTTGTATCTTACAATATTTTGCCTCTAATATGAGTATGGCATTAAAAATTCTTATTTCAAGATGCTTTATGCTGATTACAGGCAGGTTTGTACTGCTCTGGCAATCTGAGCACCATCAGCTGTTACAAGAGTGTGGTAGATTGATACTTGTCCTGCATAAGACAGCAAGCACTTTCTCATCCTATCTTTGGCCCTTGTACTCCAACTCATTTCCTGAGTATCCTGTGGCAACCAGCTCCTCACCCTACACAAAGCTGCCAGTGAGCCACGGATGCCTCAAGATAGACTGGACTCATAAGAGACGACTTTTCTGAGTCCCATTTATACCTGCTGTTTAGAATTAGCCACCCATGATGCTCAAAACAGAACTGCCGTTAATGTCTGATTAATAGTGGACCACTAAATTCCATCCTGTGTTTCAGAAATAACATGTTATTGAGACGAGCACTGGTTAAAATTCAGAAAACTAATTCTAATTCTGAGTTTGACCTTGAGCAAATAGTTTTGCTCCTTAGTTTTTTTATGTAAAAAGAAAGGAAATATCTGCTATGTATTTTACAGGCTTCTGTGCAGATTCAAAGAGATGGTTTACACAAAAGTACTTTTAAAAGAGTATAAAGGTATTAAAAACATTCTAGAG